ACCTGGAGGTGCCCAGACCCCATTTGTGCCTCCCAAATCCTACCTGGGGGTGTCCAAATCCCATTTGGAGCAGCCCAAACCCCACCTGAGCCTCTCAAATTCCACCTGGAGGTGCCCAAACCCCACATGGGCTCCCCAACTTCCACCTGGGGGTGCCCAAATCCAACCTGGGGGTGCCCAAATCCAACCTGGGGGTGCCCAAATCCAACCTGGCAGCACCTCTGTTGTCCCCAAGGCCCCTCAGGGATGTGGGGTCATCACCACAAACTCTCAGTCACTTTTATTCCAGCGCCCCCAAATCCGGGATCGCGGCTCCGAGCGTCCCAAATCCCTCATGTGCAGGTGATGGGGGGGACAGCTCCTCAATTCCACAATTCCTGCTCCATCATCATGCCCTGCTTGGTCACCTGGATGGTCACCTGGATGGTCATTTGGTCACTTGGCCTGGTAGCCCCCAGCCTCCAGCATTGCTCTCCTCCTCACCGTCTCCTTGGCCACGCTGTGGTTCAGCCTCCTCAGCCTCTCCTGGACGTGACAAAAAATCACAAAAATTCACAAAAATCATCTGTCAGCACCTTGGGAGGCTCTGAGACCCCCCAAATTTCTTTGTTCATCCCTCACCTGGGCGTTCTGGAGGATGTTGTTGACCAGCACCACGCGGCGCCGGGCGTTCAGCAGCTTCTTCACGTAGGGGTCGAGGTCCAGAGCCACCTTCTGGTCCTCATTGATGCGGCAGAGCTCTGGGGAGGGGTCTGCGTGAGCCCCCCGTGCCCCCCTCGGGATGATGGGGGGACAGGGGGGACCCCCACCCTGCGTTGGGCTCACCTGTGGCCAGGCTGTCGATGTGCTCCCGCAGCTCCACCTGGCTCTCCCTGGGGATGGGGGAAAATTGGGGTTTATACCCTAAATTCGGCTGTGTTCACCCATAAAATGATGGGAGATGTGTGGCCAGCACCCCCCAGGCAACAACACCAAGAATTGCCCAACTCATATTCCTCCAAATCCCCAAAATTCGCCCTCATGTACCTCCAAATCCCTTCAGTGCCAAAATTCACCCTCATGAAGCCCCAAAGCCCTTCAGCCCCAAAACTTGCCCTCACGTACCCCAAAATCTCCAAAATTCGCCCTCATGTACTTCTATATCCCCCAAATTCGCCCTCATGTACTCCTACATCCCCCAAACTCACCCTCATGTATCCCCAAAATCCCTTCAGCCCCAAAATTCACCCTCATGAACCCCCAAAGCTCTTCAGTGCCAAAATTCGCCCTCATGTGCTCCTACATCCCCAAAATTTGCCCTCACATACCACAAAATCCCTTCAGCCCCAAAATTCACCCTCATGTACCCCTAAAGCTCTTCAGCCCCAAAACTCACCCTCACATACTCCTACATCCCCAAAATTCACCCTCACGCCCTCACAAATCCCTTCATCCCCTCAGAACTGCCCTCCTTCTACCCCTCAGCCCTGCAGCCCGCCCAGCCCCGCTCCGGGCGGNAGTCCACGTGAGTGAGGGCTGGCATGGGGATGGGTCATGGGATGGGGATGGATCCTCAATGTGGGTCTGAATCCTCCTCCTGGGTCCAGATCCTGGGGCTGGGGACAGATCCTGATCCTCCTTCTGGGTACAGATCCTTGTTTTGGCTCCAGATCCTCAGTCTGGGTCCAGATCTTCATTTTGGGTCTGAATCCTCAGTCTGGATCCAAATCCTCACTCTGGGTCCAGATCCTTACTCTGGGTCTGAATCCAAAATCTGGGTCCAGATCCTCAGTCTGGTTACAGATCCTCCTTCTGGGTTCAGATCTTCATTCTGGGTCCAGATTCTCAATGTGGGTCTGAATCCACATCCTCCTTCTGGGTCCAGATCCTTACTCTGGGTCTGAATCCAAAATCTGGGTCCAGATTCTCAATCTGGGTCTGAATCCTCAATGTGGGTCCAAATCTTTATTCTGGGTCCAGATCCTCAGTCTGGGTATAGATTTTCCTTCTGGATCTGGATTCTCAATCGGGGTCTGAATCCTCAGTCTGGGTCTGGATCCTCATTTTGGGTCTGAATCCTCAGTCTGGATCCAAATCCTCATTCTAGGTCCAGATCCTAAATCTGGGTCTGAATCCTCAATCTGGGTCCAGATCCTCAGTCTGGTTACAGATCCTCAATCTGGATTAAGATTCTCCTTCTGGGTCTGAATCCTCAATCTGGGTCCAGATCTTAGTTATGGGTCCAGATCTTCATTCTGGATCTGGATCCTCGTTCTGGATCCAAATCTTCAATCTGGGTCCAGGTCTCCAATCTGGGTCTGAATCCTCAGTCCTGGATATAGATCTTCAGTCTGGGTCCAGATCTTAGTTCTGGGTCTGAATCCAAAATCTGGGTCCAGATCCTCCTTCTGGGTCCAGATTCTCAATCTGGGTCTGAATCCTCAATGTGAGTCCAAATCTTTATTCTGGGTCCAGATCCTCAGTCTGGGTATAGATTTTCCTTCTGGATCTGGATTCTCATTCTGGGTCCAGATCCTTAATCAGGGTCTGAATCCTCAGTCTGGGTCTGAATCCTCAGTCTGGGGTCCAGATCCTCAATCTGGGTCCGGATCCTCATTTTGGGTCTGAATCCTCAGTCTGGATCCAAATCCTAAATCTGGGTCCAGATCCTCAGTCTGGGTTCAGATCTTCAGTCTGGGTCCAGATCCTCAATCTGGATTAAGATTCTCCTTCTGGGTCTGAATCCTCAATCTGGGTCCAGATCTTAGTTCTGGGTCCAGATCTTCATTCTGGATCTGGATCCTCGTTCTGGATCCAAATCTTCAATCTGGGTCCAGATCCTCAGTCTGGTTACAGATCCTCCTTCTGGGTTCAGATCTTAGTTCTGGGTCCAGATTCTCAATGTGGGTCTGAATCCAGATTCTCCTTCTGGATCCAAATCCTGGTTCTAGATCCTAAACCTGGTTCTAGATCCTAAATCCGGTTCTAGATACCAATCCTTGTTCTGGATCCAGATGCTGATTCTGGGTCCAGATCATTGTTCTGGGTCCAGATCCTCAGTCTGGATTAAGATCCTCAATCTGGATTAAGATTCTCCTTCTGGGTCTGAATCCTCAATCTGGGTCCAGATCTTAGTTCTGGGTCTGAATCTTCAATTCTCCTTCTGGATCCAAATCATAGTTCTGGGTCGAGATCCACCTTCTGGGTCCAGATCATCAATCTGGGTCCGGATCCTCCTGGATCTGAATTCTCAGTGTGGGTCTGAACCCTCCTGTTGAGTGCAGATCTTAGTTCTGGGTCCAGATTCTCAACGTGGGTCTGAATCCAGATTCTCCTTCTGGATCCAAATCCTGGTTCTAGATCCTAAACCCGGTTCTAGATACAAACCCTTGTTCTGGATCCAGATGCTGATTCTGGATCCAGATGCTGATTCTGGGTCCAGATGCTGATTCTGGATCCAGATGCTGATTCTGGGTCCAGATCCTCGATCTGGACCCCAATCCCATTCCCAAGATCCCAGAGCAGTTCCTGGTGTGGGCCTGAGCTGCTCCTGCCTCTCTCCAGGGTGAAGGTTCTGATCCGGCTGCTCAAGGACCTGAGGATTCGCTTCCCTGGCTTCGAACCGCTCACCCCCTGGATCCTGGACCTGCTGGTGGGGCCACCTTCTGATCCTGATCCTGATCCTGATCCTGATCCCAACAGGAGCTGGGATTCTGGGAATCTCCTAATTCCTCTCCATTCCCTCTGCAGGGTCACTACGCCGTGATGAACAACCCCACCCGGCAGCCCCTGGCCCTCAACATCGCCTACAGGTCTGTGGGGTTTCCATTCCACAAATTCCCCTCGTGGGATAAAAGCGTTTTTCCTGATAAAACCACTGGAATATCACGGGAGATAAACCCAGCTGGGATTTCCTGGTGGGGTTTTCATTTGTGATTCCATTTTCCCAACAAAACCATTGGAATCTCATGGGCTGACTGGGCATAAACCCAACTGGGATTTCCTGGCTGGGTTTTCCCTTTGTGATTCCATTTTCCCAACAAAACCATTGGAATCTCAGGGGAGACAAACCCAACTCCTCCAGCTGGGATTTCTTGGTGGTGTTTCCCTGATAAAACCATTGGAATCTCATGGAATGACTGGGAGACAAACCCATCTCTTCCAACTGGGATTTCCTGGTGGTGTTTTCCCTTTGTGGCTCCATTTTCCTTATAAAACCACTGGAATCTCATGGCAGACAAACCCATCTCCTCCAACTGGGATTTCCTGGTGGTGGTTTCCCTTTGAGGTTCCATTTTTCCTGATAAAACCATTGGAATCTCAGGGGCTGACTGGGAGCTAGGTATTCCTAGTGGGGTTTTCCCTTTGTGGTTCAGTTTTTCCCAACAAAACCATTGGAATCTCATGGGCTGACTGGGCATAAACCCAACTGGGATTTCCTGGTGGTGGTTTTCATTTGTGATTCCATTTTCCTGACAAAACCACTGGAATCTCATGGAATGTCTGGGAGATAAACCCATCTCCTCCAACTGGGATTTCCTGGTGGTGTTTTCCCTTTGTGGCTCCATTTTCCCAACAAAACCATTGGAATCTCACGGGCTGACGGGTGATAAATCCAGCAGGGATTTCCTGGTGGGGTTTTCCCTTTGAGGTTCCATTTTTCCCAACAAAACCATTGGAATCTCATGGCAGACAAACCCATCTTCTCCATCAGGGATTTCCTGGCGCTGTTTTCTCTTTGTGGTTCCATTTTTCCCAACAAAACCCCTGGAATCTCATGGGAGATAAACCCAACTCCTCCAGCTGGGATTTCTTGGTGGTGTTTCCCTGATAAAACCACTGGAATCTCATGGAATGACTGGGAGACAAACCCATCTCCTCCAGCAGGGATTTCCTGGTGGTGTTTTCCCTTTGTGGTTCAATTTTTCCCAACAAAACCATTGGAATCTCACGGACTGACTGGGAGATATATCCAGCAGGGATTTCCTGGTGGTGTTTTCCCTTTCTGGTTCCATTTTTCCCAACAAAACCATTGGAATCTCATGGCAGACAAACCCATCTCCTCCATCAGGGATTTCCTGGGCTGTTTTTTCCTGAAATGATCCATTTTCCTTATAAAACCACTGGAATCTCATGGCAGACAAACCCATCTCCTCCCGCAGGGATTTCCTGGGCCGTNGCGTCGCAGTCCACGTGAGTGACGGCTGGGATAGGGACGGATCATGGGGATGGGGCTGGATCCTCAATGTGGGTCTGAATCCTCCTCCTGGGTCCAGATCCTGGGGCTGGGGACAGATCCTGATCCTCCTTCTGGGTACAGATCCTTGTTCTGGCTCCAGATCCTCAGTCTGGGTTCAGATCTTCATTCTGGGTCTGAATCCTCAATGTGGGTCTGAATCCAGATCCTCCTTCTGGGTCCAGATCCTTACTCTGGGTCTGAATCCTCAATCTGGGTCCAGATCTTAGTTATGGGTCTGAATCCTCAATGTGGGTCCAAATCTTTATTCTGGGTCCAGATCCTCAGTCTGGGTATAGATCTTCCTTCTGGATCTGGATTCTCATTCTGGGTCCAGATCCTTAATCAGGGTCTGGATCCTCAGTCTGGGGTCCAGATCCTCAATCTGGGTCCGGATCCTCATTTTGGGTCTGAATCCTCAGTCTGGATCCAAATCCTCAGTCTGGGTCTGGATCCTCCTTCTGGGTTCAGATCTTCTGGGTCTAGATCCTCAATCTGGATTAAGATCCTCAATCTGGATTAAGATTCTCCTTCTGGGTCTGAATCCTCAGTCTGGGTCCAGATCTTCATTCTGGATCTGGATCCAAATCTTCAATCTGGGTCCAGGTCTCCAATCTGGGTCTGAATCCTCAGTCTGGGTCCGGATCCTCATTTTGGGTCTGAATCCTCAGTCTGGATCCAAATCCTCATTCTAGGTCCAGATCCTAAATCTGGGTCCAGATCCTCATTCTAGGTCCAGATCCTCCTTCTGGATCCAGATCCTCAATCTGGATTAAGATTCTCCTTCTGAGTCTGAATCCTCAGTCTGGGTCCAGATCTTAGTTATGGGTCCAGATCTTCATTCTGGATCTGGATCCTCGTTCTGGATCCAAATCTTCAATCTGGGTCCAGGTCTCCAGTCTGGGTCTGAATCCTGAGTCCTGGATATAGATCTTCAATCTGGGTCCAGATCTTAGTTCTGGGTCTGAATTTTCAGTCTGGGTCCAGATTCTCCTTCTGGATCCAAATCATAGTTCTGGGTCCAGATCCTCCTTCTGGGTCTGGATCCTCAGTCTGGGTCCAGATCATCAATCTGGGTCCGGATCCTCCTGGATCTGAATTCTCAGTGTGGGTCTGAACCCTCCTGTTGAGTCCAGATCTTAGTTCTGGGTCCAGATTCTCAATGTGGGTCTGAATCCAGATTCTCCTTCTGGATCCAAATCCTGGTTCTAGATCCCAAACCCGGTTCTAGATACCGATCCTTGTTCTGGATCCAGATGCTGATTCTGGGTCCAGATGCTGATTCTGGGTCCGGATCCTCAATCTGGACCTCAATCCCATTCCCAAGATCCCAGAGCAGTTCCTGGTGTGGGCCTGAGCTGCTCCTGCCTCTCTCCAGGGTGAAGGTTCTGATCCGGCTGCTCAAGGACCTGAGGATTCGCTTCCCTGGCTTCGAACCGCTCACCCCCTGGATCCTGGACCTGCTGGTGGGGCCACCTTCTGATCCTGATCCTGATCCTGATCCTGATCCCAACAGGAGCTGGGATTCTGGGAATCTCCTAATTCCTCTCCATTCCCTCTGCAGGGTCACTACGCCGTGATGAACAACCCCACCCGGCAGCCCCTGGCCCTCAACATCGCCTACAGGTCTGTGGGGTTTCCATNATTTCACCTGGAGTTGTCCAAATCCAACCTGGGCTTCCCAAATTCCACCTGAGCCTCTCAAATTCCACCTGGGATGTTCCAAATTCAACCTGGAGGTGCCCAGACCCCATCTGGGCTTCCCAAATTCCACCTGGGGGTGTCCAAATCCCATTTGGAGCAGCCCAAACCCCACCTGGGCTTCCCAAATTCCACCTGGAGTTGTCCAAATCCAACTTGGAGGTGCCCAAACCCCACCTGGGCTTCCCAAATCCCACCTGGGTTTCCAAAATTCCACCTGGGATGTTCCAAATTCAACCTGGAGGTGCCCAAACCCCACCTGGGCTTCTCAAATTCCACCTGGGATGTTCCAAATTCAACCTGGAGGTGCCCAGACCCCATCTGGGTTTCCCAAATTCCACCTGGGGGTGTCCAAATCCAACCTGGAGGTGCCCAAACTCCACCTGAGTCTTCCAGACCTCACCTGGGCTTCCTAAATCCAACTCGGAGCTGCTCAAATCCCACCTGAGCCTCCCAAATCCAACTTGGAGGTGCCCAAACCCCACCTGGGCTTCCCAAATTTCACCTGGAGTTGTCCAAATCCAACCTGGGGCTGCCCAAATTCCACCTGAGCCTCTCAAATTCCACCTGGAGGTGCACAAATTGAACCTGGAGGTGCCCAAACCCCATCTGGCCTTCCCAAATTCCACCTGGGGGTGTCCAAATCCAACCTGGGCTTCCCAAATTCCACCTGGAGTTGTCCAAATCCAACCTGGGGCTGCCCAAACCCCATCTGGCCTTCCCAAATCCCACCTGGGTTTCCAAAATTCCACCTGGGATGTTCCAGATTCAACCTGGAGGTGCCCAGACCCCATCTGGCCTTCCCAAATTCCACCTGGGGGTGTTCAAATCCAACTTGGAGGTGCCCAGACCCCATCTGGGCTTCCCAAATTTCACCTGGAGTTGTCCAAATCCAACCTGGGGCTGCCCAGACCCCACTTGGGCTTCTCAAATTCCACCTGTGTCTCCCAAATCCCACCTGGAGGTGCCCAGACCCCATTTGTGCCTCCCAAATCCTACCTGAGGGTGTCCAAATCCCATTTGG